CACTCTAATCCATTCCCAGCCCATCCCAGTCCACTCTAATCCACTCCCAGCCCATCCCAGTCCACTCTAATCCATTCCCAGCCCATCCCAGTCCATCCCAGTTCACTCTAATCCATTCCCAGCCCATCCCAGTCCACTCTAATCCATTCCCAGTCCATTCCCAGTTCACTCTAATCCATTCCCAGTTCCCATCCCAGTCCCTCCCAGTGCTCACTCCAGGATCTCGTTGTACTCGATGGTCTCCTCCAGGTTCTGCAGGTTGGGGTTGACGCTGCGGATCGCCCKCATGTACGCCTTGAGCAGCTGGATGTCCCTCTTCTGTGGGGTGAGGATTAGGAAAATTGGGAAAATTGGGATTGGAATCGGGAAAATCGGGAAAATTGGGATCAGGATAGGGGAAATTGGGAAAATTTGAATCGGGGAAATTGGGATTGGGGAAAGTGGGATTGGGAAAATTGGGATCGGGGAATTTGGGATCAGGAAAATGGGATTGGGGAAAACGGGGTTGGGGAAAGTGAGATTGGGATCAGGGAAAGTGGGATCATGGAAAGTGGGATTGGGAAAATTGGATTGGGATCGGGGACAGTAGAATTGGGGAAATTGGGATTGGGGAAATTGGGATCAGGATCGGGAAAATTGGGGTTGGAGAAATTGGGAAAATTGGGATCGGGCATTGGGGAAATTGGGAAAATTGGGATTGGGGAAATTGGGAAAATTTGGATTGGGGAAATTGGGATCAGGATCGGGAAAATTGGGAAAATTGGTATCGGGGAAAGTGGGATTGGGATCAGGGAAATTGGAAAAATTGGGATCAGGGAAATTTGGGATTGGGATCGGGGTAATTGGGATTGGGATCAGGGAAATTTGAGATTGGAATCGGGGAAAGTGGGATCAAGGAAAATGGAATTGAGAAAATTGGGAGTGAGATCAAGAAAATTGGGATGGGGCAAGTGGGATCAGGGAAAGTGGGATTGGGAAAATTGGGGTTGGGAAAATTGGGGTTGGGAAATTGGGATCAGGATCAGAGAAAGGGGATTTGGATTGCGGAAATTTGGATCAGGATTGGGAAAATTGGGAAAATTGGGATCAGGCATTGGGGAAAATGGGATTGGGGAATCGGGAAAAGTGGGATTGGGAAAATTTGCATTGGGGAAAGTGGGATTGGGATTGGGGAGAGTGGGATCAGGGAAAGGGGAAAGAGAGATTGGGATCGGGAAAATTAGGATTGGGAAAATTTGAAGCAAGATCCCGATATTCCCAATATTCCTGCCATCCCCAACATCCCCGATATCCCGACACGCCCAATATCCCTGACATCCCCGATATCCCAATATTCCCAATATCCTCAATATCCCCACTATCCCCGCTATCCTGCCATCCCCCATATCCCAATATCCCGATATTCCCAACATTCCCAATATTCCCAATATCCCGACATCCCCAATATCCCAACATCCCCGCTACTCCGATATTCCCAATACGCTGATATCCTGACATTCCTGATATTCCCAACCTTCCCAATATCCCAAATATTCCCTACATCCCTGATATCCCAATATCCCGATATTCCCGATATCCTGATATTCCTGAACATTCCAAATATCCCAAATATTCCTGATATTCCCGACACCCCAATATCCCAACATCCCCGCTATCCCGATATTCCCAATATGCTGATATCCTGACATTCCTGATATTCCTGACATTCCCAATATCCCAAATATTCCCGACATCCCCGACATTCCCAATATCCCAAATATTCCCGATATCCCCGATATCCCAATATCCCGATATTACCGACATCCTGATATTCCCCACATTCCTAATATCCCGATATTCCCAACATTCCCAATATCCCCAATATTCCCGACATCCCAATATCCTGATATTCCCGTTATCTTGATTTTTCCAACCTTCCCAATATCCCACCAACCCCGATATCCTGATATTCCCAACATTCCCAATATCCCAAATATTCCCGATATCCCAATATCCCGATATTCCCGATATCCTGATATTCCCAACATTCCCAATATCCCAAATATTCCCAATATTCCTGACATCCCTGATATCCCAATATTCACAACATTCCCAATATCCGGACATTCCCAACATTCCCGATATTCCCGATATTCCCAAAATTCCCGACATTCCCACCTGCTCGGCCAGCTGGTGTTTGTGCTCGGCCGAGCTCTTCTCCAGCTCGGCGATTCGGCTCTGCTGCTGCTGCACCACCGAGCGCAGGTGCTTGATGCAGTTATGGGAGGGCAGCTCGTCCTTGGGCATCTCCAACCTGGGGAAAAAAATCACAGATTTGGGAAAAAATCACAAATTTGGGAAAATTCGGAGATTTGGGAAAAGAGGAAATTAGGGGGAAAAATCCCAGATTCATCAATTAGGGGAAATTCATAAATTAGGGAAAGGGCAGCTCGTCCTTGGGCATCTCCAACCTGGGAAAAAATCACAGATTTGGGAAAAAAATCACAGATTTGGGAAAATTCAGAAATCAGGGAAAAGCTGAAATTAAGGGAAAAAATCCCAAACTAGGGGAAATTCTGGGAACGTTCCCATGTCCATTCCAGGCACATTCTTGTGGCCATCCCATGACCATTCCAGTGTCCATCCTATGACCATTGCAGTGTCCATCCTATGACCATTCCTGTGCCCATCCTGTAACCTTTCCCATGCCCATTCTATGACCATTCCCATGTCCGTCCCGTGACCGTTCCTGTGTCCATCCCATGCCCACCCAATACCCACCCCAATACCACCCCATACCCACCCGCAGCCCTGCTCGCAGCTGACGGGCCGTTTGGGGTTGTGCTCGCAGTCGCTCAGGTGCACCCAGTGACCATTCCTGTGCCCATCCCATGACCATACCCACCCCATACCCATACCCACCCCATTCCTGTACCCCATACCCACCCGCAGCCCTGCTCGCAGCTAACAGGCCGTTTGGGGTTGTGCTCGCAGTCGCTCA